AATGGTATTCCTTCCTTAAAACTCTATAACTAATTACTATATGTGATCAACGAAATGTTTCATATTCTAACTTGCTATTACCTATATCAAATTGAAAGTACATTTCTGCTCATGAGAAAGTTTCTATAAACTAATTCACAGGTTGATTTAAATTTAATATCGCTGTTGTCACGATAAATTCGTCCATTTTTTATGAACAAACGCAAATCCATTTATTAGCCAATAATGTCCTGGTAGATTTCAAGCAATTATCTAACTTAGAAAACATTTATCGGTCTTGTAATCTTGAGTTATGGAGATATGATAACTCAGTACTTTGATGGGGATATCTAGCACCAAAATTTGTCTGAAATAATGGCGAAGACAACAGAAGCATTTTCGAGTCAGGCTAGTGCTATAATTAACCAGACAAATGGAAGAATGGCTTATTCTTGTCGTTACTCCCTAATATCCAATCAGTCAATCGGCCCTTCAATTCAAATCATTTTCAATTTGGTACAAGTATTTCAATTCAATTTCAACATATACTATCATCACTTCCACAAAATAGACCAGACTATCCACAAATATTCGATCCTTGACGCTTTTATAGTAAATTGATGAACTTGGAGCTTTGTGGGACACGTTATCGCTGTGTGCGTCATCGTATGCCTACATGTCTGCTCGCCAGGATTGGGAGGTGAGGCCGTACAACTCTGTGTGCAGCGACCGTACAAACAGTGACCAATCATCAACCTCTGTTTAACCTAATCCCCCATCCTGATCATGAGTAGCTCCCTGCGTGTACACACTTGATCCGCAATACCCGTACTGAATAAACATGCTTCGTGCTACACGTCTGTTTCCTTTATAGCTGGGCTATAGCTTAGGTGGTTCTGGGAGTCTAGGTAGATGTAGGAGGATCTGCCATAGAGATTTCTGAGTCAGTCAGGCTTTACTAAGGTAGCAATCTGCTACAGTTTAATCTAAACCCACAAAAAGTCCAATGTCATCATGCAACCACATTAGCTTCATGTGAATTTATCCTTAAATCATGCGCTTGTTTAACTGGGACCTAACTCTTTTATTTCATCACTTTTGTCGACAAAGTAGCTCACCCCCTTATTCAAGAGAAATTCGTTCCTGGGGTTAATATAAGGAACTTGTTTCGCATACACGCATGCACTTCCGAATACAGCCTATTAGGTAAGCCACATTCTGCTTCCTACCTCTTTACCAGTTTCAATCAATTGTCCTAATGAGTGTTGAGTCTATTATTGAGATTATTCTACTCACTACTTTAAAAGCAGCCTGCGAAAATGGTAATAAAAGAATGGAATATTCGTTTAAGAAACCAGGGCATTAATTCTCGTCATTTTCCGTTTGATGCAAGTTAAGCTCGCTTGGATGGGAAATTGGGGATAACCCTCTTTATTCAAGTATTAAGGGCAAACATACTTAGCTATTTTAAGCAAATCTAAAGACCTCCCTCCCCCCTCATTGGAGCATAAAATATGTGTGTGCATGTGTGTTCAAAAGACCCATTAAACTGATTGCATGGAGTTATTAAGTTGCTGACATTTAGTCGGTTGAAGCTGTTGTAAAAAACCTTAGTCAATAGCCCTGCATCGGCGTCTTTTTTAAGACTCGCGCTACTAGAATATAAAATTTGGTGCTGTATCAATTTTGTCATTGTCAATATTGGCCATGAACTCGATCACTTATTGAACTGTGTTAATTAAGCCCAGTGCTATGAGCTATACCGCATTTGATTGGATCCCAGAGAAGAGGGGGGGGGGAGAGAGGTTTAACCAGACAAGACAACTCTAGTAAGTGGACAAAATCAGACATTAATTAACAAACCCTTATTAAGTGATATTCTGGTATTACAAATGAAGAAGGCTATTTTAAATGCAGTTATTAAAGGACCTAGTCGTGTTGGAACCAAATTAAAGCAACCGCCTTTGCCCAGAATGCATCAATAAGAAAGCCGAACGGGGAGCTCAATATAGACATTGACTACATCAGGTGATACGACCACAGTCATTTTCGCGGATATGAAACTAGTGACCTCATTCTCTCCCTCTCCAACTCAAACTCTAGCACTAGTTCCATTTTATTCACATAACTCAGGGACTGTGGGTCAGTTTATATCTTAGTTACCACGGAAACAATATCTACAATAGGCTATAAAATGTGCTTAATTCGTGAATCAAAATTTTACAGAACGTTACCTTCTTTGACTATAATACATATAACCGGTAATGTGGTAAAATCGGCACAAATATATATTATTCACACAAAATATCTACATAGAAACAAATGCCATATCTAATTGTGTCACTCGTTATAGACTGCTGATTGCACAACGCTATCATTGGCTAAACAAAGAAATTCCATTCACTCTCGAAGGTGATCCTTGTTATTTGGCGCGTAGGGAACAAGTGCGGTCATGAGCACAGAGACCTCTCCTGCATAGTTTAAAAAAACCTTCATTATATTTAAATGACCAAGCTCTGCAGCAAACACAGTCCAAACAGACTTATTCCACATCGTACGTCTGTTTCTTCTATATTGTTGAGGGAAACATGCATTAGAGATAACTGAGGACAGGTCAAGGTTAGCTCGTATTGCAACCCGCTACATGTCTAATGCACCTAGAAATTACTTCCATAATTGTATGTGAAAATTTATCTTGTTTGGGAACGGTGAGCGGAGTAACATCATAAAGCGTTTTACATTGCCGTTCTTATTATCTTTCTTGAGTTTCAGTCTCGAATGGGCTGATTTATGGCTCATTATTGTAATTCATTCATTCATTCGCATTGATACCCTCGGAATAACACAATAAGTGTAGTCAGTGACCAGAAGTGCAAGTAGGTTAGTCGTGCTTTTTGCGAAAATTCTACCATAAAGTCAAAGAAAAAAGGGAATTCTCAATCATCTCATTGATAGAGAGCACGGCTTTCCACTCAACATTTACCGAAGGGACAAAGTCAGAGGTTTGCAAGCAATCCAGGTGAGGATGGGTACCTTACCATTGATTGTTTGAGTTACCTGTTCGCTTTAAGATTCGTATTGAAGATTATTAGTTTGAGTTCCAAAATAATAGCTAGTCCAAATTAGTGTAACAGCAGCATAGGGCCTCCACCCAAATTGACCAAGTTAAAAGACTGCCACGAGATTAATTTTAAATTTTACGCAGTCGTCAGCTGTATAACCTAGCTACATTTGTAATTGATATAGAGCAGACCAATCACATGCAATTCCTTCTCTTTAGTAACGGGTAGTTTATTAATTCTGGGATTCAAATTGGTATTCAAGCCTTGTGGATGGCCCCTATTGACAGAAGAAAGCAGTACCTGAATGCCTTACATTTCAATGACCAACAACCAGAATTTTTAATAGCTAGTCATAAATAGCGACTGGCAACTGTTTGCAAGATCGCACGACTCTAGAAGAAATGCAAGACTGATTTAAGTTTATGATAAACTTTTTTGAGATAGAATGATTTGAGTATGGGGTGTGGGATAGACTTACCTCCACGTGATGCACCCTGGGTAACGTATACTCACACGGCAAAAAAGTCTATAAACCGGCAGTTGACTTCTGACCTCAAACTGCAATGGCCCCACTGTATGTCATATTCTATCACTTCCACAGTACTCACCTCTCTTTTTTCTCGTCCTTTGTGTCTGTCGCATTTTTCATCTGTGATTCGTTCTTCTGCTCTCCCTTTCGAATTTTTCTCACTTTGATGTCCCTCCTCCCTGTGAAGCCCGAAGTCAGCTAAAGGGCTAATGATAATTATCATAAAGCCTGCCGTTTGAAATATATAAATGATATGAGTATGATCAACCTCGCATGTTGTGAAACGTGACTATCTAAATAGCCACAACTTAAAGAGGTGTTCTCATTGGGACCTTCGGAAGTTTTTTTTATATAGTTCACAATACGTTATGGGTTGGTGTTAACTTGTTCTTAAGCAAAACGCAAATTTATAGTACAACGAACATTTGGATATATATTTATTCAGCACAAGCACCCAAGAAACGGCTTAATTCATCGAATGGTAGATTGGGATCGAGCTTGAACAGAATAGGGGTTCGAAAAAAGATTCTGGGAAAGAGCAGCATCAATACCAGAAGGCACACAGGGTGCAAAGAGGCGGACAGCTCGCAAGTGAGTGTCTCGACCATTTTGATGATTGGCGAGGATACGTATTTGCAGGGTGAACAGGCTCACTGGTGCTCCATTAGGCCAATGCAATGGGAGAGCCGACCATCCAGAGGGTTCATGAAGTTCAACCTCGGTTAGTTCAACGAGATCACCAATGTGATTACCTACTCTGATTGCCATTCTAAATCCGAAAAAAAACTTTATTTACAGATAATACAATTTACGATCCATTTACAGTAGTTATCCGAATTGACCAATAACCTGAGGAAGAAGTTAGGCTAAATTTAATTTTGATCAGCAATTTATATTTCGCTTTTGGAACACTAGAAAGCTTAACAGTTTACGAAAAATTGGCCCGACTGTCTTACATGATAGAAAGGGTTTCGAGTTGGAGACAGCCATTGATTTTCCCACTAACGTTTTCGTAAAAAATCCGCTTCCCGACCCTAGTAACAATTTGGTGTAATATATGGCAAATTCTTTGTTGTCAAGACAACAGAGAGAGGCACGCTTTTCCCCTCTCATCTTCGTTGTACTGTGGGATTTATCGAGGTCTTTCAAGTGAAATTGCACAGTTGGCAATTTAGACGTGAGTTGGTGATAGTTCTTCCATAGTTAGCTGAGAATCTGATCCGAAAATTGATTTCAAAATGAAATAGTCAAAACGTGTAGGTTTTCCTAATTTTGGTGCTTTATTCAAGTTCCTGCCGCAAGAATAGACAACGGCTGATTGTTTTCGTTGGGTATAGACTTCAGTAATGGCTCCGATAGTAGCCATACAGGGGTTCAAGCTCCGATAAAAGAAAAGTCGCATGCGAGGTCTACCTTACATGGTTAGTTTGCAATTGGACACTATTACTGTTAACAGTAACATGAAAAACTCGTCTACTAAGAAACAACTCACAGGATTATTTCATGCAGTTTAAAAGACGTATGAAACATAAAAGTGAGAAGCAAGCATAAAGGGTACAAAAAGAAAAGAAGTAACCATCAAGCAAATATGACCACAATTCTCTCACTCAGGGTATGACCTTGAAACGGCTTATCTCGGCATATTACCTTACCATTGGTTCTTTATGAGCTGGCACGTGCGATAGCGAAATCGTTAGCCTACTTGTAATCCTTCAGTAGAGCTACGCTAAATAAGGGTGACGCTTTAGCCGGTTTTTTCTAAATAACTACTCACCAAACTCTTGAGCTTATAATTTAGGAAAGGTCATTTTATATGCAGCATTAGTTCACAATACAACGACCTACACGTAGTAAGAAGCCTAAAAATTAATTTCAAGAAACAATATTCGTATTTCAACCAAGAGAAATAGTAAGATTAAACTAAATAGAAAAGCATCGAAACTTACACCATGCATGTTTAGATTCCGAACTTACCGGCTAGGGGTGTAGCTCTCGTCTACTCGGTAGTCATTGTACAGACAGATTTCTGAAATCACCGTCTTCTGTGGAAATTGAATAGTGACCGTGTGTGGTTGGGGTCCATCAGACTGCCAGTACGATTCAAGAGATTCATTCAGGAGTTCATTGATGCCATGATTATTCTTGCAAGAGGATAGACACCACACGGCCCTGTCGCTAACATCACAGAGCTATCAAAAAATCAAAATTTTTCATCAAAACTCTGGGAAAAGAGAGATTCAAAACTTATCAGAACGAGTTTTTCATAGAGTGATTAATGAAAGGTATTTCGCTTTCACCCATTACATTTTGGAACTGATACAGATGCTAGAAAGTGCTTCAGAGGATCCCTCCGAGACACACTATACTCATTTATCTCTAAATCAAACATTTTCTCGACCCTTCCTCCTTTTTTTCTTCCAATTAGTATTAGGAAGGGGTCAACACCCACTAAAACAAAACCTAAGAGATTGAAACACAGCAGTAAGTAATCAGTGGCATAATGGTCAATTGAAAGATGCCAAGCACGAATGTAACAGATCAGAGATTCATATGGCAATAGAGCAAATCATTGTCAAATGGATACATAAAATTCCACTAGGACGCAACGAGATAGCAAGTCATGATCAGTAGAAATGGATTACACTCAATGACAAAGTTAACCATAATCAATTCAATTCAAGCCAAAGATGGCTGAATACAACTTTGTTAATCTGGCTTTTAGATGTCAATCTGCCAATCATACGAATGCCTTGGTGATGTAAACGGTAATTTACGGACCTGAAAGTTGCCAGAATTCACGATATCGAAGCTTACCAAGTTATCAAAATGATTTATTTATTTATTTCAAATGGCAGGCGTTTTGATAGTTATCATTAGCCCTTTAGCTGACTTCGGGCTTCACAGGGGGAAGGAACATCAAAGTAACAGAAAGCCGAGGGGTGGGGAACAGAAGAGTGATTTACAGATGTAAAGAGACAGACATGAAGGCAGAGAAAAGGTAGGATGAGTACTGCACCAGAAGTCAATTGCTAGTTAATAGACTTATTTGCCGTATGAGTATACGTTGTCCAGGGTGCACCACGTGGAGGTAAGTCTATCACGCACCCCGTTATCAAAATGATAACCATAAGTAGATTGTGCATGCTGGAACCACATCTGTTACGCTAGAGTTATGAGACTTAATAATCCTATCGCCTCACATCCAAGGAATAGAAGCATAAAATGATCTCAGG